GGGCTGGAGCACCCTTAAGGAGGGGGGACTATAATCGTGACAGGCACTGTCCTACGTGAGGTCCTGACTGTGGTCATTAAAAGTTCCAGGGTGTTTCTTGAAAAGAGTAGGGGTGTTACCCCAGCGTCCTGGCCACAGTTCCCCCTGGCCTTTATCACTCATGGCCTCCTAATACCCATCCATGAACTGGCTTCATCACTCTGTTCTCCTCCCCACTGATAGCCGATGTGCGGTGTTCTGGCGCACTATGGCTGCCATCGCATAATCCAGGTGGGGCTGCACATTGGTGGAGGAGAGTCCCCATTACCTGTAAAGTGCTTTAGGTGGAGTGTCCAGAAAAGCACTATATAAGTGTAAGGAATTATTATTATTATTATAATTACAGCCCTGTAGGTCTGATTCCTGTTACTTTTGTTAGGTCTTGGAAACAATATTGGAACTAAACTAGAGGATCATCCATCCATTTTTCTGACGGCTTTATCTAATACGCGGCTTTGGGGGTTCCCAGAGCCTATCCATCACGGGGCACCCACTCACAGCAGGGCACATTTTTCCAGAAGCCAGCTTGCCTACCAGTGTGTCTCTGGACTGTGGGGAGAAAATGGAGCACCTGAGGAAACCCACACAAGCACAAGGAGAACAAGAAATAAGAGCATTGTCTTTGAAAAGGTAGGTCTTGCTTAACTAACATGATAGAAGTCTTTAAAGGAGTATCAGGAAGGACAGGAGTATACACTATACATTTTAATTTTAAGAAGACTTTCAATGAAGTTCCTCATAAAATATTAATTCTCAATTTGCAGGATGTAGGCATTCATAGTAATATGTGTGCTTGGATTGAAAGTGGCCACCAGCCCCAGTATGTCACCTTGCAACTCACAACTGGCAACCCAGTGAAGCTCCGTAGGTGTGAGCCTGGCCAGTACCTGGATTGAAGACCTAACGGGAGAGCTAAGTTTGCTGCTGGAAGAGGTGTTAGTGGAGCCCGTAGGGGGGCGCTCACCCTGTGGTCTGTGTGGGTCCTCATGCCCCAGGAGAGTGATGGGGACACTATACTGTAAAAAGGCACTGTAACGAACAGTTCTTTCCGGACCCTATGCGGACGACACAGTCCGACGGAGTGGGGAAACACTAGGAAAACGTCATGCAGGAAAACGGGGCTGA